CAGGACAGTGGTTCTGCCTCTGTCCATAATGTGAGCTCCAGGGCTCCCACCCTTTTGGAAACTCCACATCTCTCCACTTACACTTCAGCATGAGCTTGTCTCCAATGGAAAATGAATGCACATGAGGCAGGTAAGGAAAGTAGGTGACACTAACTAGGATTAAACTGACTACAGGTCTGTGGTTCACTACCCCACAGCCTCTAATGTGTCAGTCTCCCTTCTGCAGCTCAGCTGAGAGAGTACCGGCACATGTACAATTTCCTGATATTAATTCAGGCACATAAAAACTGATCCAAAGCTCACTAAAATAAACCAGAGCCTCACATCCACTTCATCCATACTGCAACGCAAAACTTAATAATTCATATACATTTTAAGATGTGTTTTTCTTATCAGGATGTAAATTCAGGATCTGTAGTATTTCTCACTTGCAATTAATCATGAATAAGAATATTAGTTAAAAATCCAAATACTGCTGTTATGATCCCAAAGGGACAGGTAGGTGGTTGTAACCAGAAGACAGAGTGCATTTCAATGAAAAAAACACACACTTTTCTTACAACCACCAAACATGTCCTGCTGAGATTCTACAAAAATCTCAGTAGAAAAAGAAGTCAAATTGAACTACGGTCTGTGAGATTTGGAGACAAATAGTGTATGCAAGAAGGAAATTATTTAATTGCCAAGGGATGTAGCTGGTTTCTTCAAATTTTTAATCTCCTCTGTAGAAAGTAAAACAGACCAGGCATATATGCCTTCCACATAAATGCCACTGTCTCACGTTGTTCAGCACCTTACATTTTCCTTCTTCATCAACAGTTATCATCTTCCTACTGAATGAAAACTGTTCATATCATCTTCATCACCTGTCACTGTTTAATTTGCTATCACTTTCACTAATATTGCCTACCATCAAACAGTCTGGATGACACCCTCTCTCCACTGAAATGAAACTTAAGAAACCAAACAAACAGTAAACCAAATCACCTCTACAACTAGCTTTAGCAGGATCAGAATTTGCACTTCTAATCTCCCTAAGGTCTAGTAGTCCAGGGAACAAAAGTATAAAAAAACAGCTGGGTCTGTACATGCTGGGACTTTGCTGAAACCATAAAACAGCACGGGTAGGCTTAGCCTTCTTATCTCTTTGTCTCCTTATTTCCCCTCTTTTCTCTTGTGCTCTTTAATTCTGTATTTTCTGCCTAGGACTATTCCTATCTTATGTCAGCTGGTTGATCTCCATCCATTTTTCCTCCCCCAAATCTGAAAAAGCTTTTCCAGAAACTGCAATACTCAGCTGCCATTGACAACAGATGCTGTTTCTGCTGTTTTAAGAATTAGTGTTCCCCCTTTTGTTTCATTCCCTATCTTCTTTTTATCTGCCAGGGTCTTTCTTCTTTTGCTAGTTTCCTTTCCTGTCTGGTATCCTGTCTGGTATGTATTTTTACATTTTTCTCCCTTCAAAACTATTCTTCTCTCATGTCTTTCCTGATTTGTACTTTCCTGCTTCCACTACTTACCCCCCTGGGGTATCTCAACTCCTTTCTTTTTCTGCATTTCCCCCTCTCTCCCAGTTTTACTTCCCTCAGTGCCCTCTGCCTTCAGATATGCAGCTGTATTTGCAGCTGCTCTGCCCGCAGATCCTGGGAGGGACAGACCAGCCCAAACACTGGTGAGAGGAGCTGCAGGTGGTAATGCTCTATCTCCAAACTTTTAAAAAATTGAAAATACATACCATATATTTTATAAAGTACATTATATTACACAATAAAGCACAGAGACATTTTAATAAACTCAATACTCTGGTGAAGATCCGACAGTCAAATAAATGTCTGGAATATGAACTTTTCTCGATCTAAATGCATTTTCTTCCCAGAACTACAGAAGATGATACAGCACAGAGCTACGTGTCTCTTTCAGGGACAGAAAAACATAATTTAAGCCTAATGTTCAGGATCACTCATCCCACTCCAAGCTGAAATCAACTATGATTTTTCCTAGTGACATCAGAACTGACTGTGTCTCCAGCTTGTATGCTGAGGCCCTGGTGAGGTGAGGATCACTGAGCCAGCAGTATTACTAACTTTGCTTAGAGTTGAGCACCTGATGAAATGTCAAATCAAAGCCAAAACACCCATGCCCTATGGTGAAGTCCTAAAACTCAGAGTGCACAGCAAGGCTCACAAGTCAGGAACATAATTCCTCAACTTTTTAAATTCTGATCATTTAATTGTTGCACCTTGAAAGTTAATTTTACAAAAAGACATCAGGACATTGAAGCATTTCTCGTAGGAAATTTCATGAAAAAGCCCTAGCCTCTCTGTAGGTAAACACTGTTTTTCACTGCAGCACAAAAGACAGCTCAGGTACTTCTTAAACCCAGCATCACTTGCACTGCAGGATCTGCATTTGTGGCACAAACATTATAAATACCTTTACTCACAGAGCACACACTGGCTCTTGTTAGCCCAAATCTCTTTTTCCTCCAGCCCTGACCACAGGACTAACTTTATAGTTACATTTCAGAGGAAAATCAGCATATTTTGAGCTTCCCATTACATTTATTTCCATTAAGAAATAGAAGTAGCCCTGATATCAATGTACTCCAAAGTGTGCATATGGATATATAACATAGGTGTTTTTTTTATAGTAGGTTGTTTTAAAAAAGAAAAAGGTTGTTTTTAAAAATGCAGAAAAGTTATTGGCAAATTCTAACACTGAGTGCAATTCCCATTTCTTGAACAGGCAGGAAGCAGGTGGCTATAGCACTGGACTGCTTGCATTTCTCACCAACCCTTACTGTACTGTGCAGGAGCTATTACGCAGCACAAGAGGAACAGTTAATCTCTTTCTAAAGACATGTGCATCTTTGGTGAATGACCTTTCATTAAATTCCAAATTACCAAAGTCACCATTACTCACAGAAAAAAGTAATCCGAGTTTTGAAGTCTTTTTCTGCGTAATAATTTTTATGTATTTGCACATGTACTTCACTGTTAGGTACTTTAAAGATTTCCTTCTGGAAATTAGTAACTTAAGGAACTCTTTGCAGATATTCTTCCTTAAAATTTTACTGAATGAATGTCAACCTGTTAAAATTGCTACTTTAGAAAAATGATGAGTAACGGAGAAGACAAATCTGGAAATCTCTGTAGTCTTGAATGTTTCTTTTTTTTACTCCTTCATGTTTAAGTGTTTAAGAAGGCATTTGTACTTAGGCAGCCTGGCAAAATCCTAAAGTGATTAAGATTCAAAGATGGGCCTTTGTGACCTTTATGAATTTCCAGGAATATCGTCCAAGACCGAAAATGAAAATATAACAATTTCATTCTGCATTACTAAGCATTTCAACATCTCCAACACTTTAAAATTTGGAGTAAGTTCTAATGCCTGCTTATAAATAAACCAGAACAGTTTTCCTCCCATTTCACTGCCACTAAAGAACCCAATCAAGAGAAGCTAGTTACAAGACTGTTACTAGACACACAGTAAAGTTGGGAAGGTGACAGCATGTTTTCACCCACTGTGGTTTAAGGGTCTCTGAAATACCACTGTCTGCACAGACATGCAGACCTATAACAAATAAAAAGAGCAGCATTTGTGGTATTTGGAGTCTCCTGTAAGTCATTAAGTGCAACTTAAACTCTCATCTAGGACTACCTAAAGCGCACTCCTTTTAAACGGGAGTGTATGCTCCCGTTTACAGGGAAAGCAGCTCCCAGTACCAGCAGTATCAGATTCTTGCAGCATCCATGACATTTGTAAGCATTCAGTGGTCAGAACACCACTACATATCCTTCAAATGACATGGACCACTGAAGCTGGAAAGGTATCTCCACTGAACCAAGCCAGCTGGTATCTCAGCAATCCACCAGGACACGAGCATCAGCTTGCCCCCGGTGGCGTGCAGAATCTTGCCTGAGGAGTTCATGGGGTTTGCATTTTTGAAAGTCATCACTTTTGAGTGTTGAAATGCAAAGGGTAGGCACCAACTTACAGCAGCGGCATCTCAGACATACTTTATGCTGCGAAATAGTTGTATTTGATGTTTTTGATTTCAGAGTGAGAATCAGTTAGACAACAAGGTGATAAGCATGACAGAACACTAACACAGTGAGCTAGCCAGAATAAGAGGGCACACCATCTCCCAAGTTAAACCATCTGAGTACTGCCCATTACATAAAGAATCCCGTGCATTAATGCTAATAGAGTGTATTATTTAAAATATTTATTAATGTACTAGTTTCTTTCTTGCTGCTGTCAAATCATTAGTAATATGCACCCATTAGTTGAAAAGCTTGAAATAAGCTGAATTATACAAAGTGTGGTTTGATTTCTGTGCTACCACACCACTGTATTATACCAGCACTAGAAGATGGTATTATCTTTCCATCTGTGAATGAAGTACAAACATATTTTAAAAGAAGATAAACAAATTTTGAATATGTTTAGTCCTGGTTAAACTACGTGCTGTGTGTTTACTTCCTAACACCAACCTCATATTGTCAATCTTTGACATCATGATTCATTACCTTATTAAATGAAAATAACTGACATGTTGTAGATGTAAGGACTATGAAGTCACAAGTTTCCACGCACAAACAGGGACAACACCCCACCATCAGCAACATCAGGGTGTGCATAGATGATGCAGTTATTTATGAAAATAAGAGATGTAGGACTTGGCTATTACAGTTTAAAGACCTAACTCCTTGTTAAAGAATAACATTGTGGGAGAAAAGAATTATTAATTATTGTCAAAAAAACCCCAACAATCCTAAACCCAGATTCCCAACGCGCGGGTGGCCAGAGGGCCGAGGGGAGGGGACGAAAAGTTTGGTGGTGCAGGGGGCGGGCGGCTCGGCCCCGCCGCCGCCCCCCTCCAGCCGCTGCGGCCCCCGCGCCGCCCCCGGCCCCGGCCCCGCGGGGTCCGAGCCCGCCGGGACTCCCCGCTCCCGCAGCCCCCGCGGGGTCCGAGCCCCCCTGCCCGCCCCGCTCACCTGCTGGCCAGGCTCTGCCGGCAGTGCTGCCTGAAGGGCATCAGGTGGTAGTTCATGGCGTCCAGCAGCAGCTTCTGGCAGACGGGGTCGGTGCGCATGAAATCCACCGACTGGACCCGCTCCACCAGCTCCGGCGCCGGGATGAGGGCGAAGCGGAGGCGCTTCATCAGGTCCGGGGCGTACTGCATGCGGGTCTCCCGGTCGTGCTCCAGCCAGAGCACGGACATCTGGAAGAGCGCCAGCTCCGACTCGACGGGGGGGGGCAGCGAGTCGAGGAGGGCGCGCATCTCCTCGAAGTTGAGCAGCAGCACGTCCTCCACCAGGTACTTGTTGGCCAGCTTCTTGGTCTCCTCCAGGCCGTGCAGGGCGGCAATCTTGCACACCTGCTTGTAGTTCTGCACCGAGATCTGGTCGTTGAGGAACTGCACGCACAGCTTGGTGACCTGCGGGATGTGCAGGATCTTGCTGACCGACAGCACCTCCTCCACCGTGTCCAGCGAGAGGGTCACGTTGGCCGTGTACAGGTACTCCAGCACCAGCCGCAGCCCGATGGACGAGCAGCCCTGCAGCACCAGGTTGTTGATGGCCCGCGGGCTGGCCAGCAGCTTGTCCTCCGGGGAGGAGGATGGGGTGCCGGGCTCCTCCTGCGTCTGCGGCGGCGGCGGCTCCTTCGGCGGACCTCCCAGCCCGTCCTGGGCGCCGGGCCCCAGCCCCAGGGCGTGCGGGTGCCCGCCGCTCCCGCCGCCGCTGGAGAACAGGGATCGGAAGTACTGGGAGCAGGAGGCCAGCACGGCCTTGTGGCAGTGGAACTGCTGGCCCTGGGCCGTCAGGGTCACGTCGCAGAAGAGCTGCTTCCTCCACAGCAGGTTGAGGCCGTGCAGCAGGTTGTCGCTGTGGCTGGGGTCGAAGGTGGAGGTCCTGTCCCCGGATCTGGACATGGCGAGCGGCCTCCGGCACACCTGCCTTTTAAACCCTCCTCCAACCTGGGCAGAGGGGTGGGGAGGAGAGCGGGGTGGGGGGACACACGGGACGACACAACAATAAACACAGAGCTTTAGAGGCCCGGAGGGCGCATCCGGGCTGTGTGCGCAAGGGTGGCGAGGGGCGCAGCCGGGGGACGGGCTCCCCTCTGCCCGCCGAGCCGAGCCGAGCCGCCCCCCCCCGCCCGGGACACGGACGGGCTCGCTCGGAGGGGCCGCAACTTGGGAGGGCGAGAGGAGATCTGGGGTTTTTTTGCCTCTCCCCTCTTCACCCCCGCCCCCGTTTTCCTCCCTCCTCGGTGCAAACCGGGCAGTTCTCCAGGGGAGGAGCAAGGAAGCCGGGGACATTTTCAGGCTGAGCCACCCCCCCCCAGGTTCCCCCCTCCCAAACACCTAAGCAATCAAACACACCCCAAATAACACCAACACCACCACCCCCCCCGCCCCCCAACTCCGCGACGCCCAGAGAAACTACCAAGTGAGTGAAACTCTGCCGGGCAGGCGAGCAGCCCTGCCCGCCCCGCTCGCCGCCAGCCCCCGGTCCCCTCCGGCCGCTTTGGCAACTCGGCGGCGCCAGGACCCGCTTCCCCCCGGGGGCGGCGTGCCCGGAGCGGGGCCTCCGGCACCGAAGTTGGGCCGCACTGCTCGGCCCAGCGCGGGGCTGCAATACTTGGCACCCCGGAGCGGGCACGGGGGGATGGAAGCGGCAGCCCTGGGCCCGGCGAGGGGGCCGCCCGGCGCTGTCCTGCCCGGCTTGCTTCTCCTCGCAGCGACGGCGCCGCGGCCGTAACTCCGGTAACTACGTGAAGTTCAAGTTGGGGGAAGGACGGGGGAGGCGGGAGCGGGCGGCGGGGAGCGGGGCCGTGCCCGGCGGCCCCCGGTCCGGCCGGACCCGCCGCCCCCCCAGCCCCGGCCCCGTGCCCGGCCCGGGGAGAGGGGTGGGCGAGGCTGCCCCGAGCCGCGGCCGCACCTGCGGAGGCTGCGCAGCCACCGACCCGCGCTGACCGCATCCCGCCCCGCGGAGCGCCGCCGCCGCTCTTCCTCCTCCTCCTCCTCAGCGGGATCCCGCCGAGACCTGCTCCTGCCATTGCAGCGCGCTCAGTCGCTTCTCGCCAATACTGGGCTTCCTCTGCCTCCCTTCACCCCCGCCTCGCCCCATTTATCGGCACAGCGAGGGGCTCCCTCCAGCCGCTTCCCCTGCCCCGGCGCCGCTCAGCCCCGCTCCGCGCCCCGCCGCCGGCTACAGAAACCTCCCGGAGGCTCTCCCTTTAAGTGGACCCGGTCAATCCCCCCCTCCCCACCGCACACACACACGCACACACACACGCATACATACATGCACACACATACACAGACACACACACTCCTCCTCTTCTCCCTCCCCTTCTTTCTTTCTCGTTTTGCCCATTTCTTGCAATCGGAGTTTATTCCGCAAACGCGTTCGTTACACAACTGCCCCCCCACCCCGCACACACAGACACCCCTTTCCTCTCCCCCAGCAACAAACAAATCAGGAGGCACTAGCAAATGCACGGAGACGGTTAGACACAAGGCCAGAAACTTACCTGCTCCACAACCAGCTGCCAAAGTAAAGGTTCACTTAAGCTCCCCCCCAAAAAAATCAATTGTCCTTCCTTTTTAAAGGTTTGCTCGCTCCTTCCAAAAAAAAAAAAAAAAAAAAAAAGGAGAGAAGAGAAAGAAAGAAAGAAAGAAAAAAAAAAACCTTCTGGTTCCCAACTCGGAGCAGTCACTCTTTACAATTTATTTTGTCGTACATCATTTGATCACCATGAATTAGCAACAGCAAGAAAATGTACGAGAGAGAGAGAAGGAGAGAGAGAGAAAGAGAGAGAGAGAGCGCAGAGCTTTCTGCAAGAGAAGAAGAAGAAAAAATGTACGTGTGACAAATTATGCTACCAAGAAACAACACATCATTATCCTTGGGCCTGGGGCTCAGTGAGTCGTAACGAGAGTAATAGGAAATCCACGGTTGGGGAGAGAAACGGTCGTGCATGGCCAGTGGAGAGAGACCATACAGGGGGATGGATGCTGGAGAGACTCGCAAAATTATGGCTCAAGGCTATTGTAAAAATTGTCGAGCGTAAATGACTGCGATTTCAAACATCTTTGGAAGAAAGAAGGGGAAAAAGCGAGCCCCCCCCCCCCCCCCCCGCCTCCCTCCCTCTCGCTCTCCCTCTCTCTTCTCTCTCTCTATAAAGAACCGTCAAGTTTTAGTGCGCATTGCTAATTAGTCAATTTCTCTCTGCCTTCACAGGCTGGCGACTTTGCTGCTGAGCTGAAACTGCTAATTTCTGTGACCAGCTTTTTTCTTAGCTGTGATCTGGATGAATGAGTAGCTGTCTCACAGAGATGACAAAAATAAACTCTAATCCCCCCAAAAATTTCCACTACATCTTTCTCATGCATAGATTTATGATCTTCAAGGGCCCTGTGCAATATGCAAACTTTTGTGTGTATGTGTTGCTGGGGGGGGGGATGGATGGGGAGGGGGGAGTAAGTCTTGTATTCAGGTTGCACAGTATTTGCTTTGTATTTCTGCTCTCCCCCCACACCCCAGGAGTGATGAAAATAATGTCTGGTTTCAGTAGCCAATACATTGTCACCCCCCATCCCCTTGTATTCGTATTATTGCTTTGACAGGATACATCCTCCTTCCTTGCAAGTCTGATGAGGCTGGAGGGGTGGAAGGGAGAGAAAGTGAGGCTACTAAATGGTGTTAGTGGTAAAACGTTCCTTTTACATTTGTTCCCCTGCACTGTTCAAGATTTATGATCTTGTTTGAAGGCATATTTTCTCTATCGTTTTTTCTGGTTAGACAACCGTCTCTGAACTTCACTGTCAGCTCTTCAACAGATAAGGGTTCAGAAGTCACATTTTTTTATTGGAAGATTAGCATATTGTCAGATTTGTCTTTCGGTTTCAAGACTTTGCAAAGCAGAAGCCTGAACCAAATGGCAGGAAAGCAGCTGCTATTTCACAAACATAACCTTTCAACTTTCTGCCAGAGCTGATACCCTAGAAACGTGCATAGCACAGCCCATGGGCTAGGGCTTTGTTTTGGTTTTTGCTCCTTTATAGTTGTAAGAAGCAGAGGGAATTCTTATTCTAGGCATTTTGGCCTTTTTCTTTCCACCAAAGGACATTTTGGTCGAGGACATGTTCTCCACACTTTATCTCATGATATATTGTACCCTCACATTTATGGCTCTGTTCTTCTGTTGTCAAACCTCCAATTGTAAAAAAAAAAAAAAAAAAAAAAAAAAGTGGAATGTGTGCCCTTGAATGAAATGCACATGAAAGGAGACTGGAACAAGCACTCACAGAAAGTTTTACCTGGTGTGAAAGCCTTGAGCCCCATCCCCTTTCACAGATGATGCTCAGGCTCCCGTTAATTAAAACACACACCAGGAGTGGGACTTCGAATGCCAGGTCTCATGGTCTTTGACTTGGCCAAGGATGCCAATGCATTTACAGAGCTGGAGTCAGATTGCTCAGGAATGCAAAGGACTGGAACTGAAAGGCATCAAGGCAGTTTTTACTTTTATTTATTTTCTGGTGACCTTAATAAAGAAGTTCTGCCATATCCCTCTCTTTTTCCTTGCCAGATAGATCTCTTCCCCCTCCCTTGGATGTTAATTATTTCTGCAAGAAATTTCCAAGAGAGGTAAGGCAGCTGGTGTTGTGGGGAATGGTATTCTTCCCACAATGACACCATCCTCTGCTGTTTCTAAAACCATGTTCTTTGATTTGCTCTAATTGTGGCTTCCTCCCTGCTGTATCCTGTTGGCCACACAGATTTTGACCCTGTTGAGATGAAGAGAAATGTGAATCACAAGATGCCTCCATTTTGATAGTAGCTGGTGTCTTCAGTGATGTGAGTTGTCTCCCAACTGTAGTAGATGGGAAGAATGATTTTTATATCATGCTTTTTATGCTGAACTTTGCTGCCATAATTGCTGTAAATAAACCCCATGTGGTTTTTTATCAGTTTGCACTGACTGATGTGTCACACACACCACTGTAAGCTGCCAAAATACATCCTGGTAGCAAGTTTCTTGGACTAGCATTCTGGTATGTTTTGCTCTTTAGTGGAAAGACCTGGTTAATTTTTATTTAACTTCGCTACACTAACTCGGGTTGAAATAAAGTTCAGTCTTAACTTACGTGTATGATTTGTGGTGACTTATGAGATACATTGGAGAAATATTTCCAAAATCCTGTATGGTATGGTATTTTCTAAACAGTCTTAAATATTTTGAAGGGAAACTTACAGAGTTTCTAAGTTGGGTGCTTGATTTCAAAGTAGAAAATTAAAGTTTCATCTCTTACAGATGGCAGCTGTTGACAGAATGTGCTTGCTTTCTTCTTCTGTTACTCCCAGACCTGCATCGTGTAAAAATTATCCATTTTTTCTCTTTGGAGCAAAAGTAGGTGTACTTTACACTTGGTTTAAGCAGGGACTTCATATCTCTAATTTATATATCTATCTAAAACAGTCACAGACTTCAGGGCAACCACTGAGAGCAAAGACCCTCTCCCCTGAGGCACTAAATATGTAAGAACCCTGAAGTTTTCTCTATCATAGCTATAGGGATCTGTTCCTAAACTGGATTTCCAAAGAACAGTGGGCAGTGGCCCATGCTTTCATCTTTTCAAAGCCAGAGGTTTGGGGATGTTGTGTTTTTAGTCATCATCCTTTTCCTCAGCTCTTTCCATCCCTGCAGATTCCTCAGTTTACCAAAGTTCGATTGCAGAGGCTCGTGATGGGGAGGTCAATGCTAAAAGATCCAAATCACATCTTGCCATTTAAGGAAGAGGTCCTGGTGCAGAAGAAGCTTTTATCAAGACAGGATAAAAGTCATTGAAATCCTAGAGAACAAACTCAGTAAATATACAAGTGAAATACATTTCAGTAAGATTAATTTTATAAAAAAAAG